GGGGGGGGGGGGGGGGGGGAAGGGGGGAGGGGGGGAGGGGGTGGGTGGTGGGGAATGCATTTGCATCGCCAAAAGAAATCAAACCTGTGACTGATGAATAGCGAGGCAGCTGTTGGCGTCATGGAAACACCATCCACTTGATGGCTGACAAATTAAACCAAAAGCACGTCACGGACTGGGGGTTTTAAAAGCACTTTATAACTCCCAAAACAAGCCTGTGCGCCCCCCCCCCCCACCCCAACCCACTGGACAAAGCTGGAACCCAGAGCCAGGAGAGGCAGACAAGTGCGCCCTTAGACCTCGATGGCTCTGGGGCTGAGGAGTGAGTTGGAGTGAGAGTGGCCGCGGTGCTTTTACGCAGTCAGGAAGCGTAAAAGGATCCGTTAACTGAGCAGAAGCGTAATGGTTTCACGCAGTGATTGCGGTGCCGCGACAGCAGAGATCTTGCTGGTGTTTTTTTTCCTCCCCCCCACCACCACCACCCCGCACAGAGGGATGGGGTGGCGTGGTTCAACACCTACCTGGGACGAGGTACGACGACGACAACTTGGATTTGCATAGCAGGCCGATCAGGCCAGGGGTGGGGGTGTGTGGGGGGGCTCTGAAATATTGTGTGGGTTAAGTGCAAAGGGCTGAATGGCAGTGACTAAAGCCATCTGTATTATTTAAGGGTTCCTGGCAACCTGCAACAGGTGTACAGTGAAACCTGATGCCATCACAGGTCTCCAGACAGAGACAAACAACATCTGCTCACAAGGGGATGGTTGGCAGCCTTTAGATTGTGTTTGGGGGGGGTGGGGGGTTTGGGGGGGGTGGGGGGTTAAAAAAAAAGAGAAAACTCCAAAGTGGTTAAGGACCAGATCGCGCATCAGACAGACGGGAAATTTGGATACAACCTGAATTTAAATGGGTTTGATCGGGTGTCTAGTTTGCAAGTCGTATAACTGTCTTTCTTTCCCCCCTTCCCCTCCCCCCCCCCCTCCACTCTCCCCCAAATCGGAGACGGGATGAGAGCAGGAGCACCCGAGCTAAGCTGTTGCAAAGACAATTTCAACCTCCTGCTGGTTTCCAGCCTCCTTTCCTACCGATGCAACGGGCAAGTCACCGACACGCACTCTCCCGAGAGATGCCGTGTGTCCAAATATACCCCCCCCAAAAAAAAACCACCCCACTGCACGTTAAGCGATTGCACAATCGGGGACAACGACGAGACGCAAAGACAAACACAGTTGGGTCGGGTATATACTGTACCCTTTCACGTTGAGAAAAAAATAATAACCCATAAACATAAAGAGGAACCGTACTGCGGAGAAGGTACTCCATCTATCCCAAGACCCCCCCCCCACACCCAGCCCCGGGAGCTCGTTAAACCGACTTGTGCATCACTCACCAAAAGTTTGGTCTGCTCCTTGTCCTGTTGCAGGGCTGTGATCCGGACTCGGAGAGCTCGGTTCTCCTCTAACAAGCGGATCCACTCGAAGGTGTTCCGTGGTGACCGAGGCTGGACAGGCAGTAACCCTTGTCTGAGCTGTGGGAACCAAGAGAGAAAGATGCATTGGATAGGGCGCAGGCACCCCAGTGGGGAAGCTCACCCAATACCTCTGTCTCCCTCTGCCTTGAGCCTAACACACACCACACACACACACCGCACACACACCACACACACAACAATAATAATAATCCTTGCATTTGATATAGCGCTTTTCACGTCGGGAGGACGTCCCAAAGTGCTTCACAGAACACACTGTAAATTGAATTGACTGTATATATATTTGTGGGCGAACGCGACAGCCAATTGCGCACAGCAATGTCCCCCAAACAGTCGTGGATTGAAAATGACCAATTTATTATTGTTTTTGGTTTTGGAGGGATTATTATTAGGCTCTGTGTGGAGTAAGGAAACTTGCCCAAGGTTTCGCCCTCTGCCTGGAACTGAACTCAGGTCTCTCACTTGCAAAGCGAGTGCTCTAACCACTGAGCTACAGGACACACACCACACAGCGTAATCAGGCTGCAAACAAAATGCATCACTTGCCTGTATTTTCCTTTGGGAACACACACACACGTTTCTGCTAATGAGTGATAACGGCTCGATTTATTTTGGTTACCCCCACCCCCACCCCCTCCACCTCTCGCTCTCTCTCTCTCTCTCCCTCCTCTCCCAACCCTTTCACAAACTGTTATTCTAAACTGAACACTTATTTGGGCATTTTTATAACTTGCTATTTTCAATGTGTATTCTAAATGCAAAAAAAAAATGTAATCCCAAATGATTGTGGAAATGTACAGACTGTTGTATCATGCCTGTGCGTGTTTGTAGCATCGCCTTATATAACCGAAGCTATCACCCATTTGTGAAGTTTTATTTTCCCCCCCCCACCCCACCCCAAGCCGATGTCTCTGCACGTTGTGTTTTTTTTCCTTAGGAAAGGAACAAAAAAAAATACATTTAAGTGTTGGAGAAATAATATCCTGGTTGATGCATAACCGAACCTGAGAATCGTACGTTAGATTGCGGTGGTGGGGGGGGGGGAAGGTTAGGGGTGCTGTAGATAGTTCATGATGTAACTTTGTATTTTGCCTTAATATTTTTTTTGAAGTCTAAATTATGTTTTGTCAAAATTTTGAAAATAAAACCGTCTAAAACCCAAAACGTTCTCGTCTTCAGCAACAGCACCGCCAACGACTTGCATTTGCACAGCGCCCTTCGCGCGAAGTAGTGTCTCGTCACGATTAAGTTCAATCGAAAGTGCGTAATTCCCCATTTGCCGCAGTCAAGTTATTTAACACCGTTTGAAGGATCGTGTGACCCGTGGAAATCTGGTGTGACAGACCCACACACACACACACACACACACACAGAAAGTAAACGAGAATGTGAGCAGTTTGTGAGTGGGTGTGAGCTTACAGGCAGTGTGTGCGTTTGTGTGTGCGCTCGCCTGTAATTTGACACTAAAATTGGGATTCCCACAGAGGAGGCCGTTTTAAGAGTGGGCGGTGCAGAAAGAAAATAATATAATAAACGTTCCTCGAGTTTGATATGAGCGCCCGGATTGTGTCAGCGAGAAGTCTCGAAGCCTTTCGCACCATTTGCGCAGTCAGCACAGGTCGCTCACAGAGCTGTTTCGCCTGACACCTGGAGCTCATCGCGGCCACATTAGAGCCCCGACTGTATTCGGCCCAAATCAGGGAACGATCTGGGAGGTTGGAGGGAGAACAACAACAACAACAAGATTCCATTTATAGAGCGCCTTTCTACGTCGGGAGGACGTCCCAAGGCGCTGGACAGTTGGGTCGGGACCCGAGCATTGGGGGGGAAATGGTCAGGGTGAGGGGAGGGAAGGGAGGGAGCGAGGAAGGGAGGGAGCGAGGAGGGGAGGAAAGGGAGGGGAGGGAAGGGAGGGAGCGAGGAGTGAGGGGAGGGAAGGGAGGGAGCGAGGAGGGTGGAATGGTCAGGTGAAGGGAAGGAGCGAGGAGGGGTTAGAGAGTCAAGGGGGGGGGGGGGGGGGGTGAGCACGGTCGAAGAGAACCGCCTACGGTCCCTGCGGTTGATGGCATTTTCCAAGTGGAGGAACTCCAGCACCTGTTAAAACTGAGCAGCCCTCTTCGTGGGCTTGGGTGCTCGGCCCGCAAAATACACGCAGTCACTTCCACTTCAACAGTTATTATCTGTGAAGCACTTTGAGGCAGGCTCGAGGTCTCAGTGTGGAGAGGCTCTGCTTTAACTGTGAGTGTGTGTGTGCGTGTGTCACACCCCCCAGCCCAGCCTCTGACACACACACACTCTCTCGCTCTCTCTCTGTTATCTCCCTGTGACCTGCGGTTGGCTACAATGACTGATGGTGACTTGGACTTGGGCTTTGGGTCACACAAGAAGCGCCGACGCTGCCGGTCCTCGCTCCGCCAGGCGGGTCCTCGCCTCTCCTGCGGCACCGGGATGAGGACGAGGGTTCCTGCCACTCGCTAGAGGCTGTCGGTGCCCAGTGCTGGCTGCCAGGCTGGGCTGCCCTTCGCTGTCTCCAGCCCAGCCTCGACCACAGCTCCAGCCTCGGAAACAGCCACAGCATCAGCATCAGCTACAGCCACAGCATCAACTACAGCTACAGACACAGCATCAGCTACAGCTACAGCTACAGACACAGCATCAGCATCAGCTACAGCTACAGACACAGCATCAGCTACAGCTACAGACACAGCATCAGCATCAGCCACAGCTACAGACATAGCATCAGCCACAGCTACAGACACAGACACAGCATCAGCATCAGTTACAGACACAGCATCAGCCACAGCTACAGACACAGCCACAGCATCAGCCATACAGCTACAGACACAGCATCAGTTACAGACACAGCATCAGCATCAGCCACAGCTACAGACACAGCATCAGCCACAGACACAGAAACAGCCACAGCTACAGACTCAAACACAGCATCAGCCACAGCATCAGCCACAGCTACAGCCACAGTCAGCGAGTAACCAGGTCAGTGTCTACTTACCTTTCCTTTCTCCCTTTCCTCAGCTCAACGTAACACGAGAAAACAATGATACAGTATCCTGTGCTAAATTCTTACCTAATCCTCTCTATCTATCTATCTATCTATCTATCTATCTATCTATCTATCTATCTATCTATCTATCTATCTATCTATCTATCTATCTATCTATCTATCTATCTATCTATCTATCTATCTATCTATCTATCTATCTATCTATCTATCTATCTATCTATCTATCTATCTATCTATCTATCTATCCATCTATCCATCCATCTATGCATCTGTCTGTCTGTCTGTCTATATCTCTCTCTCTCTCTCTCTCTGTCTATTTCCCTCTCTGTTATTGTACCGTGAGATCAAGACTGTCATTTGCAAAAGTAAAAGGAGGACGAAGAAAGAGAAGAGAGAGAAAGAGGGAGAGAGGGAGGGAGGGAGGGAGAGAGAGGGAGAGAGGGAGAATGTATTTACTGGTGATTGTGATCTGTAGATATCTGGAAACTTGGCTGAGTTTCTCTCCTGGTGCTGAGCACCGGCTGTTGAGCAAAAGAAAAAAATAACCTCAACACACAACTGCGGCAGATTTGTGTTCAAACGATTCCTCTCTACAGAATTAGCAGCAGATTCTCAGGATCCTGATCCGGAGTCACTCTCACTCACACTCACTCACTCACTCACTCTCACTCACACTCACTCACTCACTCTCACTCTCACTCTCACTCATTCTCACTCACTCTCACTCACTCACTCACTCTCACTCACTCTCAACTCTCACTCACTCTCACTCACACTCACACTCACTCACTCACTCTCACTCACTCACACTACGCTCACTCACACTCAACACACTCACGCTCACTCACACACGCTCACTCACTCACACTCACTCACACTCAACTCACACTCATGTTTTTTTTGATACAATTTCAAATTGTGGTTAATGTTCCTCTCTCTTTCTCCCTCTCTCTCCCCACCTTAAACCTATTTAAAAATTGTCACTCTTTACCCAACCCAACCCAACCCAACCAACCCCCATCCCCCCCCACCCCCCCAAATAAAACACTGGGTGTGAAATTGAGTGAAATCTCGCAGATCAAGTCGGTGGCCCACTTTGTGGCTGTTGGCGAGACATCGCTCGCCGTGCGCAAACCTTTCCACCCGCAAAAGTCACAGTCGCTCACAGTTTACGGTGAAATCTCGCAAAGCGCTTTGAGATGCTTTCACGCTGTGATAAGGCGCTGTGTCAAAATGCCCAGATTATTAAATGGGGGGTGGGGGGGAGGGAGGGGAATAAACTGTCCGAGAGAGTGTCCGGATGGAAGCGACGTGTGCGCGCGTGTGTGTGTGTGTGTGTGTGTGTGGATTTATTTACTATCGTTCCAGAACAGTCTAAGCCACGTTTGGGGTCTAAGGCGACAGGGAAGATGCTTCTCAACCAGGGAAATCTGCACAATCTATGAAGGCGATTGCTGCAGTGAGGGGAGTTGTTTCCTGGGAGATTCTGGGAGTGGCGCGAGGGATGTGGTTAGGGTTGGGGGTTAGTGTTGGGGTTGGGGGTTAGGGTTAGGGTCAGGGCTGGCGCTGTCCTGATTGACGCTGATCACACAGTAACGTGGCTGCTCTGGTTGCCAGGCTGCGCTGGTTTCCTGTCACACTGAGCTCGCTGTTACGGTGACTGTCACACACCAACACCTGATGTCTCTCAGCAGGAGCTCGACTTGCTCTGTGATGGGAGCAACAGCTCTTCTCCTCCCTCCCTCCCTCCCTCCCTCCCTCCTCTTCGACCCTGCTCCGCCACGGTCAAGCCCTCTGGGGCGCTACCCAGTGAGAAGGGCGCTGTGTAAATGCGAGTTGCTGTTGCTCTACCCGAATACCATCTTAACCAACTTGGATTAGCTTTCGCCCGGTCCCTCCGGTGGATGTTGAACGCAGCAGTCCTCGGGTTTCCCACCCCACCCCCCCTCCCCCAAAAAAATCTGTTGCCAACATTTTTCCGAACGCCCGGTTTATCCCGGTCTCTCTTGCCGTTAGCGTTAGTGAGGAGAGAGAGAGGTCAGTCTCTGAGGTTCTTGACTACGTTTGCTTCAGTGCCCACCGCGTTGCCAGGTTGGGCTTTAACAGAGGAATTTGTGCCAACGAAAGAGTCAGCACATGTTCGTCTTTGCCATGAGCGGTGGGTGGCGTTGACTCAGACATGCGATTGGAATCATTGACTCATATAAGGAATGTTCTGGGTGTAATTATACTCGCCAGTAGCCATGGCAACCCTCGACTAATGTATAGGGCCAGTGAAATAATGGGCGCCCGGTCTTTTCATGTGCAGTTAGCCCCGCGATCAATGGGACACAGATCGATTCGAGTCGCTGACGACATCAATGCAGCCTTGTCAAAGCAAACGGTCAGTTTATAGCCTCGGCTTTGCTTCGTTTCCCGACGTCGTTCAGTTCCGTTCAGTCACGAGATCCGATTGTTAAAAAAAAAAATGCAGCGCCTTTCGGCTAAACGTGGATTCGTCTTAAAGTTAGTCGAGCGCTCCGGGACACCAGCCGGCGGGAAGGAAGCTACTTAAACGCAAGTGGTTGTTGTTGTTGTTGTTGTCGAAGCTTCTCCAGCGCTGCCCGCTTTCACTACTGCGATCCGAGACAGAGGAATGAGGAGAAATGCTGAGGAGACGGGAAAGGGATTCTGGTGCAGAAAGCCTGGCTTGTCCTGAGGGGTTCAGATGTCACATTGTGTAGTTTGAGTTAATGGCGAGGCTGTACTGGATGTTCTACAGGCAATCTTCTCGCCGATGGGCATGTTGCATAACCGTGGGTTCACCAATGGAAGCGCAGAGCTCGGGGCCATTCCTCCACCTAACAATTACTTTCCACATTAGCTGCTGTTGCCCTGAAATGCAGAAGTCTGACAAGCTCCGTTCCAACAATTGCAGCGCGTTGGCGAGGCTGGATTCGCATACACAGAACATACAGTCAATTCACTTCACGGAATATTCTGTGAAGCGCTTTGCGACGTCTCGAAGGCGTGATTAAGGCGCTGTAGGAAATGCAAGGATTATTATTATTGTTATTATTATTTACTGCTTCTCAGTGAAATCTTATTACCTTTTAACTTGCGATGACTAGAGCGTGAGATTCCCCCCAAAACCACATCGTTGTTAAAGCCCCCAGAAAGACACCGCACTTGGGTGCAATTAACGCAGGGTATCTGAACCGTGAGATCAGCAGCTTGTAACTGAACCCAAGTAGCTGTCGGGACAGGAATCGGTCAGGATGATTCGGGACGCCCCTCGGACACCAAACGCGCTGTATAAATGTAATGTGTTGCTGTTGTCGAGCATCGAAGGGCTGATAGTGAGGAGGTCGTGCGGGGGAGTGAGCTGCAGGTCACAGCCCATGATCCTGGAGCCTCAGTCACAGTCGGTTTGTCATCTCAACTGTGTCTTAATCGCAGCTCCTTCCTGCTCCAGGCACCTGGGACATTCCCAGCCAATCTGGGCTGTGTCATCCCCACACTCCGATTCAACAACAAACCCCCACTCCCCCACCCCGCAGAGAAATAGAATAAAGAGCTGTTCCGCTCAGCACAGTCTCTTGTAAGCGTTTGTATTACTTTGTGGACTGAAGGTGTTTGGGACGTCCTCCCGACGTGAAACTCTCTACCCGAATGTCATGTTGTTGTTGTTGTTGTTGTTGTTGATTGTGCTTTGCCGACTGCAGGGGAGGGGCGGTGAGCATGGACCTTCGCTCCGAGGGAACAGGCATTTGCTTCAGTCGGTCAGGACGTTGGAGCAGAACTGCCACACACTGCAGAAGGAGAACAACCGACTGGTAAGTGTCTGAGAGCAGAAGCAGCCGCGAGTCAGTGCCAGACCTGCCTGCGGTGTTCCCTCTGCCTCAGGATTCCTGAAATAGCGACGGGAAACAGACCCGCGATACAGGAGATAAGTCAGGTCAATCCCTGGTGCAGAACGGACGCTCAGGCTCAGGGCTCTGAGTGTTTGAGTAAATAAAAGGCAGAATTTTACACTCGGTCGGAGCTGATGTATGTCTCTGCCTCTTTGGCTTCTGTTCAGGGCATTTATAGCCTGTAACCAGTTACTATGCGGAGCAATGTGAAACAGTCAGCCACAGGTTAGAGTGTCATTCTGGTTCAGTTACTGTCCTCGTCTCGAGACTGAACATGTGTAAATGGATATTCCCTTCCTTACCAAAGTTCTAGCATTGGAAGGTAAGATACCACAGAATATAGGGCTCGAGTAATACAAGAGCGCGCACATCCCGGATCTCGGTTCAGATTGCAGTCAGCTCTTCAGCTCATAACTGTATTCCCCAAGTCCACAGCCTGAGCCATGGGGACAAGGAGCCTGCGAGAGAGAGAGAGAGAGAGACACACACGCACATTGGAGGCAGTGACCTTAGAGAATTAAACACCTGAGACACATATGCCAGCAGCCATCAGTCAGCTTGGCTGCTCAGAGACAGTTGGCGATCGATGCAAGGTTTCCGCTACGTCTCTATTTGTCCCAAAGACGCTCCTCTCTTTGTTTAAACGTTTTGCTCGCCAAATATACAGTCAATTGACTTTACAGTATATTCTGTGAAGCGCTTTGAGACGCCCGGAAGTCGTGATCAGGCGCTATATCAAATACAAGGCTTATTATGAAACTGATTGTTTCTCCAGGTAGGATTTCTAACAAATTAGATAGATTCCTGTTAGGAAATAATATCTCAGGATATAGAGAATCCCCCCCCCCCAGAAATGCTAAAAGCTCTTTAAACAGCCGTGTTTTCAGTGCACGTGAAATGTTTCACGCTCTGCCCTTGGGACGAAGAGCCTCACTTTTACCAGTGTTGCAGAGTTGGTAGAAAGTGAGAAGGGCAAATGGCAATGGTTCACAGACGTCACTAAAACATGTAGCAGAGAGAAGTTAATGGAACATTATATATTTCTACATGCACCTTTCCCTTCCAAAACTAGTTGCCGTCTACTCCCAAACCTGATCAATATCCCTGATCAATATACCACTGAATCCAGGTATTGACAGGAGATGAGGCACGACTGTCATCGTTGATCAATCCCTTTTTGGGCGATTTTCCAGCTGGGTTTTAGCTAAACTGAAATCTGTTATGTTTGCGGCCAAACAGTGGAACCTGGAACTCCATCGCGGGAGGAATAGTGTAGAACTTTTGGCAAATTATTGAATTCATTTTTCGGCTTTGAAGCCTCTTTTTACAGACTTTTAAAGAATTTGACCGTTTCTGCACAGAGTAAATCTGGACCCAGATCAGTCTTATATGTGAGGAGATCCTGAGAGAACGGGGTTTGAAAGGCGCTGTTTACAAACAGACAGCTGTTGATTACAAGGTCTGTTCTTTCGCCTAAAGTTTTGAGATTATAATAATCCTGGCGTTCGATACAACGCCTTAGCACGTCGTTGAGACGTCTCAAAACGCTTCACAGTATATACTGTAAAGTGGATTGACTGTGTACTTTGTGAACGATTAGTAACAAATTCTTTTTTTTATATAAACGATAGTCATTCTGAGTTCCAGCAAAAGGCAGTTTTGGTTTCCAACATTTTGTGTTGCATTTTCTGAGCGTTTCCCTAACAGTTGATTTGAGAACATTTTTTACCTTTGGTCTTCGGACCTTGTTCCCTTGTTCCTGGCCCAATGTCCAGCATTTAACTTCACAATACATTCCTGCCAGTGATGTGAAGTGACTTGGGAAAGGATGTGCGTGTGTGTGAGTGAGACAGAACACGTGTGTGTGTGTGTGTGTGCATAGGTGTGTGAGAGAGAGAAAGTCAGGTCTACTTCAAAGGTGATCTTAGCAATTCCTGGTTTATTGTGGGGTTTTTTTTTGATTCTCTTCAGCGCAGATTTAATGAAACTGAACTAAGCCGCAACATGAAACAGCCGCGACAGGAACCGGGTGTGAACCAGGATCTGGAGAGGGCGGAGCAGCGGTATCAGGTACACAATTCCAGATGTGAGACTCTCTGCTGCTGCGTGCGTGAGTGCGTGCGTGCGTGCGCGCGTGTATATATGTGTGCGTATGTGTGTGTGTGTGTGCGTGCGCGAGGTCTCTCAGTGGAATTTATCATCAGAAACCTGGCGTTCAATATCAAATGAAATCAAGGTTGTGTTTCCACGGAAACGGCACTAACCTGATTAGCTGCATCTAATCTGTGCTGCGTCTCGGTTGTTTGGACGGTTTTCGTGTCGTTCAAAGTACAGTTTATAGCAGTAGAGTTTAAACCTCATCCCTTCAGACAGCTCTGAGGCAATGCCGGACTCACAACACGGAGCTGTTTGCCTGACGAAGACCGGGACACTTGCAGCAAAACTAAAGGCGAATAATAAAGGCATATACGAGTTAGTCTGGCAGCACCAATGGAATATGCATAGGAATGTTAAACAGTCCTCACTTACACAACGGAGGCCCTAAAATAAATTCAGTCTGCTTAGCTCTTAACCTATCAACAAAGAAATGAGTGTCCATCAGTTTGATAAGTGTGATTATATGAACTGATTAAGGCAGGTATGAGTGTTTTTTTTTTAATTTACATTCACCTGGTGATGTTGAGACCCGGGTGCTCTAAGGTTACATCTGTCACAATGGCTTTTTAAACGCGTGTAAACAAGGTCGAGGCAAAAATGGTCTGATTATATAAAGTACAATCATTAAATGCAACTTCGCAAAATTAAAAAAAAATAAAAACACCAAGTGCAAAAAAAAAATTCCACATCCTCGGAGGGCTCCCTTCACACGAGCTTCCAGGACCCCACCCTCCGAGGAAGCTTCGCTCCTGGTTTAAAACCGCCTGTTATTGTGGACGTGTGAACCCCGATGACAACAAACCCGATTCTAAATGATCCAACGAGACCGTTGCAATATAATTTCCAGTTATTGGCAAGATATTTGCAGTTCCAGTTTTCCTGACGTTTTTTGATTCGTGTAAACATTGGTTCGTCAGGTGTTTGTTGCTTAGGATGTCTAAAGGCCAGATTCGGGTCCGCAGGTGACATTCCACCAAACGCACAATGAAAACAGAGTGATATATATAGTGTTTGTCCGCGTGGCATTCCCAACGTGAAAGCGATCCCACGCCTCCACACGGCCTCTAAACCATCATCAACATCGTAGATCAACAAAAAAACCTTTATCGGGTAAAGAGTTTCTGAAGAAACCCCTTAAAAATAAGTTAAAAGAACATTTATGGGATAAAAAAAAAGACAATCGGCGATTGTGCCAAATGATGCACAAACTAGTTAAGTAACAGTAGTGAATGGTTTGGTCACTCCCCACACCACAAGTCTCTGCTGCTCGTGCAATGATCGTTGTCACTATGAACAGGAGGTTCAGGATGTTGACATCGTAAGGTTCAGGCAGCCACAGAGACCAGGGCAGGAGCTTCGGGAGGGACAGAGGTCCAAGTGGAATGATCACAGCCACGGAATCACAGAGACGGCTACGAAGGCACAGTCACGCCGATGATAATGGCGACAATAATCAGCAAGATCGCAACGCAGATCAATATGATGAACATTTTCTACAGAAAGATGAAAAACAAAAATTAGGTTAGTGCCAATTCGGATCTCTCCATTGCCTTTGATTAGAAACAATCACTATTCTTGTGGCTTGTGAAATGATGTGAGGCGTCGATGGGGTAAATCTTCAGCAAAATGCGTAGTACTTTCATTCTAACATGAACCATTTTGCTCAGACTATTGCTAATGTAAATTGGTTGCGTTTGACTAAAATCTCTGGGAGAGTTAAGAAGAGTCCATTGAACCACAGGACTTTCTCCCTGAAGTGAGCAGTTCTGCCCTGTGCGTATCCGCATGGTTGAACGGCAACTCAATCCCAGGCTGAGATCATGGGCACAAAGGCATTCAGCACCAGAATCCTCAGAGATTCATCTGTGCTGAACTGAACGATAAATAAAGCCAGCCTCAGTTGCAGTAACAGCCCAGAATAGAGAAGATCCTTCAACAAAGCAGCTCCAGAACGGATGAGAGCAACTCACAGAACCAGAACATTCCCCTTCCTTGTAGTGAGGGAGCGCTGATTAAATTGAAACAAACCTGGGACGCCATCATACGTCAAACAAAGCAAACAAAAAATTGCATTGAGGACGTCTCAAGGCGCTTGAAAGGCACGATATAACAAGTGCGAGTTGTTTTAAATCCGGAACCTTACAAAGATCACATCAAATAAAAACGCCTGCAATCCAGACAGACAACTGGTTGTTAGCCGATTGTTGAATCGCTTTCTGGGAGTAATAATCCTCTCCTCACACCCCATCAAAAAAAATTGGGTGGTTCTTTGAAGCGCTTTGAGATGGCTTCAATGATGTGATGAAGTGCTATATCGAATGCAAATATTATTATTATAACGAAGCTTACTCGACGAGCTTTGCTCTGGTATCTCACAGCTTTTTTCGTCTCTTCCTTGGCCCGGCCCACGTATTCGGCTGCATTCACCACATTCGTCTCAATGTTGTTGATCATTTCACCCTGTTTTTTTTTTAAAAAAGAGAAAACAAAACACACGCGTTGGATAAATTAGTTCAGACATTTTGTTCTTATTCTGTGGATTTCCTGACTTAGCTGTTGGTTATTGCTCCTCTTCCCCTCCCCCCAGCCCCCCCCCCACACATACACACACACTGCCCACAGGAATGACACGGATGGGAATGAAGCAGCAGGAACGAGCACAGGAGATTTGCTCACTGCCGTTTGCAAGTTACCTTAATTTAGCCTCGACACGTCAGTGAGCAATGCAAAGCAATCGCTTTTGCCCTGCGTAGGAAACTAATAAAAAGGATTCACTTTAAATCTGTTTTCATCAGATGAATGATCAATGACATCTATTTGATGATATTTAACATATGCTGCACACTTCCCGACACGAATATCGCTTTCCATTAAGTCAAACATCTCAAATAAAATCACCCCCTACCCTCCTCTATGACTCTACGTTGGGATGGTTTAGTGCACGGGGTGGAAGGCATGATGACAGAATGCAGGGAGAAGAATGACGTGACTTATACTCAGAGTTGCATTGCCATCGATGACATGGATGCAAACATGGATCACTTCCATTACCTGTCTCACGCTTCATCAGCTGCGATCAGCAAAACACAAAAGAAATCTCGATTTTACTTTACATTGTATTTCACAAACATTCAGTATCTGTGGGCTTGTGTGTGTGCCCCGTCACACCTTTCACCATCCACCCCTCACACTGGGTTGGTGGGTTGCATTGACGGATTCATGGTCAGTCCGGACTGGATGGACATGTTCCAGCCATGGAAGCCTTTCCTGCTCAAGAGATTGCTATTCACAAGTTCTTTGCAATATCAGCAACATAATCTGCTCTTAAGCAAAACTTAAGCAACTTATGGATACTTCGGGAATAACGAGCGACCTGATGACCCAGAATGTGGGAAGCTAGGAGACGCATCCTCAACTGCGATACGTTCTAACAAGGGGGCCTGTAACATTAGACTCCTGCTCTTCACACAGCAATTCCTCCATATCACTCATTCCAGATAACCCACACTAACCAATGGGCAGGGGGAAACTTCTACCTAAAGGGTTCATACAGTAAGTTCCAAGATGTTTCTGTAACGGAACATTTCCAGTGAGACATCATCAGACCCAGTGCCTGCAATACATCCAGCATCCATACAGTGGCCAATAACAAGCTTCACTGCAACCAACAGCCCAGCCACATCGGGGCCCCTCACAAGCTGCTGGTTTCTCCCTGTCGCACTCCCTCAGCCAGAGAGTCCAAATGCTAACACAGAGTGTTAAAATATTCTCAATCACAGAAAGCAGACCACACGCTGTATAAACAGGCGACACGTCAGGAAGCAGATGGCTCATCTGCAGCAGAGAGACGTCAAAATAACCTGAGGCAGTAAGAGATAGACAGAGAGAAGCAAAAGTTCTGACCCTCCCCCAAACCCCTAGTAAGGCGCCCCTACCCGCACCTCCAGTAACACCGCACCCCCCACCCCCGCCCTTGACCCCTGTCACAAGCCACTCAAGCCCCCCCCCCCACCCCTTGGCCTCAGTAACAGAGCTCCCACCTCGCCTCGCTCTCGCCCCCACACCTCAGGTAACATGTGCCGTCAAGGTACCTGATGCTCCACCAACATAGCCATGTCCATGAACATCTCGTGCAGCTCCCGGATGCTGACCTCCAGCTTCATGATGTCTTTGTGGCGAGATTCGATCTCGTTTAGAGCCTGTCTTGTGATCTGGGAGTCGGAGATGATCTGGAAGGAAGTGGACGGACGAGAGGGGAAAGATGGCAGCAATTTAGTCTGTTTAGTAATCACAACTCAAGGAATTCCTTCCTCAATTCGCCCGCCCGGACACGATTCTCCCGTCAGGTTTTGGGAGCACATTGATACCCTGATGCCATGTTGTTAGCGGCACAGAAAGACCCCGACAGAGATCCCACAGCTGCGCCCCCCCACCCCAAATTATACCGACATGTTAAACATTTAAGCCACAGAAATTCTGACAAGACTGCAGTTTGCTTACGTCAGATGTGAAAATCGCCGGGTTCCCACTTTCCAGCATTTCCTCAAGTTCGTCATCAGTGGTTGTCTTCCCAGCTACACACGTACACACACACACGGGATAAATTGGAACACCATAAAAAAGTCACTCCGCAATCCCTGACACGATAAACAATACAAAACAATCTGCAGGAGCACCCGACAAGTAAACACAAGTTGGGAATTGAGGAACAAATCAGCCATCATCTAATACAATAATAATAATCCCCCGCATTTGATGCAGCGCCTCACCACGTCTTCGAGACGTCTCAAAGCGCTTCACTGAATATGCTGCAAAGTGAATTGACTGTGTGGTTTGTACAGAATGACGGAATAGGGTGGAGGGGCTGAATGGCCTACTCCCGTTCCTAGGGTCCTAAGCAATCTCTTCCCTGCTCGTTGCACTCCAATTGTATTCGTCAAGCTCTGAGATATACATTCTGCCATAAAAAAGTGCAAACTGTTGTAAGATGGGGAAGTGAGGCACAGGGTGATGGAATGCCCGTCCTGCAGGCGTGAAGTGTAGAATTTCCCCACGTGGCTGCTGAGTCTGACAGTAGAGCTGTAAAAAATCCCGCAGCCGGGATCTGTCCAGCCCTGAAGAAAACAACAGGACAGATGCACTTTGTTGATTGGAATCGCACGAGGAAAGTTTCGCCCTTGAAATGAATGAAATGCCATTGTGTCTTTGCAACACAATAATCGGGAGCCTTTTCACAACAGCGGATGGAAAAACAACACCTCTCAGTTGACAGGAATATCCCCTATTCTAGCGCAAAGGAAACAAACAAGAGATAAAAAGATTAAGTAACGGACAGGCAGTCAGGCCGAGCGAGCGGGAGAAAGCCTGACGCAGCACATTCCACGTCTGATGAGATTAGCGATGAGCTTGCTCCAAATTATTTCTGTGAAGTTCAGTTGTTGGTGTGATTGTTTGGTGTGGCTGGGTTTGCAGTGACGGTATTCAAAACAATTTCGGAATGGTTTGTCAAATGTCACAGAGCGCGAGTCAGGATATCAGGAATGTGTGAAGCTGTTCACCTCACGCGAGATGCCGAGCTAGTAAATTAGCAGATTCTTTCCATGGTTTGGAAACAGTGAGAAAGTTACAGGTTCAAAGCCCCACATCAGTACTTGAGCTCAAAGTCTAGGCTTACACCTCTGGGCAGGGGCTGCAATGGTTAAGAGACCTTTGTGGGTCACTACATTCAACTGTAATTACTGCGTTTGAAGCGTTTTCATACATTTGACGTGAAAAATCAGGGAACGGGCACAGATCAGAGATAAAGCGAAGGGCAGATTATGTTAAGAGTGAAGAAATGTTGAAATACATCCGCAGTTTACACATCATATTGCGTGTATACACACACACTCACACACACATTATATACAATAAACTCCTGATCGCTCCAAGGGAAAGGGGTTCAGTGATGAGTTATCCGTACTAGTGAGTTGGGCCTATGTATAAATACATAAATAAATAAATGTGGCCGGGATATTGACACCACGATGACTTAATAATAATAATCCTTGCAGTTGATATAGCGCTTTATCACATCGACATCCCAAAATGCTTCACAGAATATATAGTAAAGTGAATTGACTGTATATTTTGTGGGTGAAAAGTGGCAACGACAAATTAAGCCAGGGTCGAGTTATCAGAAGTTTACTGTACGTATAAATCTCTCGGCCACGGTGAAGATCCACTCACTGATCTCCAGCTGTCTCTGGATCCGCCCTTTGCTTCGGTCCCGGAAGAGTATCTGCGTCTCATTGTATTCAGTCATCACACTGGCAAATTTCCGAGACAGAGTTGAATGCTAGAATTTAAAAATACGAGCCATATGCACAGGTCAGACTCCGTACAATACCATTCCGTTAGTTTGCGATTTGAAATCATTACAGGGCTGTACTTTGCGGGCGGCAAAACATCAGCAATCATGGCAATATGTCAAGTATCTCTCTCTCTGTAAATCAACTGCACGTTTTCTATCCGGTCAGCATTTTCTCCAGCAGCATACTGTACCTGGGTTTTCCTTATTCGCAGATTCACTGAGCCTTGGTTTTCACCCTCATCTTTACACTCTCGCTCCATAGCTACAACGAGAAAGCAAGGGGTAAGATGACCGAAAGTGTGGTCAAGTGGTAATTTTTATACAAGAGTTCGTGGGGAACATTATCCTGTACAGACAAGCACAATACGCAATTTATCACCAACAACAACTTGCATTTATATAGTGCCCTTCAAGTGGGGCAGCAGCCCGGAGCACTTCTGATGACGAGCTGGGGGAGGGCGAGGTGACTGTAAGCACGATCAAAAAGGGAGGTCGTTAGGCGGGGTTTGATTTGGATCACTGGCCACTTACCTTTCAGCATTGTTTGGACTTTGTTGGCATCTTTCCTGATCGCAAGGGTCAACTCTTCAAGTTCTTCTTTGGTTTCTTTTTTTTAAAAAAAAAGAAATTTTTTTTATATATAAACCTTTGATGTATAAAAAGGAGATCTTTTAGTCTCCGCCTCAATCAGGGGGCAGAAATCATGGGATCTCGGGTCTGGCAACTCATTACAAAAATGAAGCACTTTGGAATAAATAGAACTTGTATTTGATCATTGAATAATACAGAACTGAAACAGGCCAATTGACTCACTCAACAACAACAACTTGCATTTATATGGCGACTCTCACACAGGGTAGCGTCCCAGAGCACTTGACAGTAGCGGAAGATGAAACCAAGCCGGGGGGAGGAGGGCGATAACCGTAGGCATGGTGCAAGTAAAAGGTCTTCTGGCGCGATCTAAAGATGGGGAAGGAAGGGGCAAGGCGGAGGGATAGAGGAAGTGTTTCAGAGTTTCAGGGAGTAGTGACTGAAAGCGTGGCCACCAATGGTGGAACTGAGGGCATGAGGGCCATGCAGAAAGCCAGAGCCAGTCGAGTGGAAGCAGCAGCAAGTGGGTTGGTGGGGTAAGCAGGTCGAGAGGTAGGTCAGTGTCAGGGCATGAAGGGATTTGAAAACTAGCGCGGTGATCTTGAAATCGATCCATTTGTCGATAGAGAGGCAGTGGAGCCTGGCTGGAACTGGTTTGATGGGGGTATGGAGTTTGATACGAGTGAGTTTGCGGGCGGCGGAGTTTTGGATCAGCTGGATAAAGTCTGACTGTGGGCTAAATGGCCTTCTTCTGAGCTATAAATTTATTTCTAGGGTGGCCTTGGTCGTCGTTGTTGTGCCAGGACTTTACTTACTTCCTTCCGGGTTTGGTGCCGACAGAATGATGCTGTGCTTCTTCTTCACGTCTTCTACATTTTCCCCAATTTTGTCAATTAACAACCGGATTTCCTCCACCTGTTAAAGTTAAATGTTTGAGGGTGAAAGTTGCACTGATTTATCCACTTGACAAAAACATGCAAACAATGCTATTTTACACACACAAAACCCTAATTACACCCAAAACCCTAATTGCGGCAACTACAAGGCAACCTCCAATGCCTAATTCAGTCAACAGAACCCTCCATGATTTTAATCATAACTTCCTACCTGGTGGAAGAAATCCTCCATAAAATGGTCATGTTCCACAGTGACCGTTGCTTCCTCATCATTATTTTCATTGAACTAAAAATGGATAAAACAAAAGAAAAACGATTGGCAAACAGACGTTTAAAGCATCGCAAATAGATTAAATTAGACAACAGAAACAAGACTCAGAAGGAATATTATTAGTCTGTCTGTAACTTACATTTGTTTCTCTAGACTTAAATACCTTAATTCCTTGTCATTGCCATCATACAATAATATTGATAATAATAATCCTTGCATTTGATATAGCGCCTTATCACGTCTTTGAGACGTCTCAAAGCGCTTCACTGTATATTCTGTAAAGTGAATTGACTATATTGCTGGTTGAATCACAGCAGCCAATTGCGCACCGCAGTGTCCCACTAAGTCGTGGATTGAGTGACCTAATTATTTTTAAAAAATGTATTTATTATTATTGTGAAATAAAGTTGCCTACATGGCCAGCTGGGACATGCTGTGTAGACCAAGTCAATGGGGAAGATGTGCAGGACGAGGCAGGTTATTTCCAAACTCACAGGGAATCCCGCCCATCCACAGCGCATACTGTTTTTATTGGTCTCTTCGAACACACAGTGACATTTTGTCAGCAGAATCTGTCATTCGGGTGTGGCTAGCAAGTTGACATGCACTGATTTCAGATGTGGCAGCACCTGCTACAACACGATGGGCAGAGAAACATGGGCATTTTGAGAGAGGTTTCTTGAAAGTGGAGCAAAATTATTGGCACATTCTCAATACACGGGGGAGGGGTGGGCTGGGGGGGCAAAATCTGTCAGAACCAAATTCTCTGCAAATTTAATCCTGGGTGTAATCCTGTGACTTTTGGCAATCAAAAATGGGCAATAATTACACCTGAAGTATTTGGAATCGGAATGTTACTCTGTTTCTACCCTCCGGCTCTTGCTGTAGAAATTAAAATCACAGCCAAGTCAAAAGGCAGCTCTGTGACCAAACCTTTCACCGCAAAACCACACAGCTGTCAACACGTGGCTTCAAGCAGAACACGAAACACTACTCCCTCCCCGAGCAGAGACATTACTCTTCATCAACTCAAGACATTTCCCCTCATCTATCCGATTCCTCTAACTCTGCACTAACAGCACAATACAACAACAACAACAATAATTTGCATTTACATGCCACCCATCGTGCAGGGTAACATACAACGGGACACGAAACTGGAAACTTCTACAGCGCAGGAGGTGGCTATTCGGTTAATCGGGCCAGTGCCGGTTCTGTGCAAGAAGTTTCTATTTAGTTCCACGTGTATTTCCTCTTCTATTCCACGCATCCGTGGCCAAGCATTCCGAAACCTCCGAAACTCTCCCTTACCTCTGTCTCGCCTCAAAATCTACCTCTTGAACCACCTCCTCATTCTCCCCTCTCTCAGCAGCAGTCTCCATCACTGTAAAGTGCTCCGAGATGCTATCTCCAGTGATCCTGTTACAGCACGAACAGCGCTAATCCCGGTACTTGACGATGTTTGAGCTTTGCAACCACTCAATTCTAAGTATCACTTAGCGCTGCACCAGGAACAGTCACGAAGTACACTATTTACAATTTGGCAATAACCAAATAAGGGATGCACACTTAAGAATAAATCACATTTACGACCGAAAGTAATTTCCAGGAACATGATTCAATTTCCTTGTTTCAAAAAAGAAACCACAGCGGATGACGTTTGTACAGATAGCGCCTTTCGCGTGGGGGGGGGAAAGGACATCCCGAAGTGCTGGAGGCGCACACACGCAAAAATAGATAAATAAGGGGGCATTTCTTTTTCTCCTTTGTTACAGAGTAAAAATATTTACTCTTATCCACTTTTATGTAAAAAAAAATCTAAAAGTGCACGAGTCCAGTATTCACACCAGGAAGGACGGGACAGGGTTCTTCTGCTCACGATTCACAGGGCGCGGACTCGGCACCCGCACTGCGTGTCCTGCGCTGACTGACCACAACAAATAAATAACAATCCTCGCATTCGATACCGGCGCCTCATCGCGCCCTCCAGACGTCTCAAGAGGTCCTCGCGGAGCGTACCGCTGGGAGTGAATCGACCGCACGTGCGTTTTTGTGTGTGTGTGTGTGTGTGTGTGTGTGGGGGGCGGAAACCCCGGCGCCCCCGCAAAGCGGTGGTGGATTGAAGCGACCGACGTTGTATCGTTGTCGACCGCTTTTCTTGAGGGACGAGTATCAGGCGGACGCGCTCGCTCGCTCCCTCGCCCGCTCCTCGCCCGCTCGCTCGCCGGTCCGCGGGCTCGCGTGCGGCCGCCCGCCCGCCCGCCCGAGAGCGGTCCCGGCGTGAGGAGAGACTCGCCCGATGCCTCGCCCTGACCGGCTGCCGGGCACGAGGAGGAGGAAGGAGGAGGAAGGAGGAGGAGGGTGGGGATCGAACCCGGGTAGCCCTCGCTTGCGAGGCGAGGGGGGGGGGACTGACTGACCGACTGACCAACCCGACTGACCACTGAGCGACAAGGAAGGCCTCCATGAGAAACACAGGGCCTCACACACACACACACACACACACACACGCACGCGCGCGCGCAGTGGGGGGAAAGGGGGTGGGGGGGGGGGGCGGTGCTCACACTCAGGGGCCAATAACAACAACAACAACAACAACAACTTGCATTTACAGTGCTACAGAAGGTACACAGAGGGGCCTCTCGCCCTCGAGGGGCCCGCGCTGCTGTGTGTGTGGGTGTCTGTGTGGTGTGGGTGTGTGTGTGTGTGGGGGTCGGGGTGGCCGCCGGAGCCGCCGCCTCAGAGCGAGGCCCCGTTACCCGAGTAACGGTCGGGGCTCGCGCTCGGCGCTCACCTCCCTCAGGTCCTGCAGGCGGTCCCTCATTGCTGCGGGTGCAGCCGGTGGTGGGGTTGGGGGGGTTGGGTTGACCTGCCCGGGGCGGGGCGGGGCGGTGTAGGGGGGTGGGTGGGGGGGGGGGAGGGGAGGGCTCGGGCTCGCGGGCGTCGGCGTCGCTGCCTCTCACTCCCTCCCCGCCCCGCCCTCTGGCCCTCGCGCATGCGCACAGACCCGCCCGTCTCTGGCTCCACTGCCATCGCTAATAATTATTTCTCTGTGTTACACATATATTTATACGTATATAGGTGTGTATATATATATGCTTAACCCTAATTGCTCTCTCTATGTATAGCCGTTGCTGTGAATTCTGTACACGTATCGCTGTGTATTATATATTTTTTGCTGTATATTATATATTTATTCCTGTATATTTATTGTTGTATATTCTCTCTTTATCGCTTTGTATGATATGTATTGCGATATACTATACATTCAGGACTATACACGGTATATATCTATTGCTGTGTATAATGTATTTATTGCTATATATTGTGTTTATTGCTGTATACTGTATATATGTATTGCTGTGTATGATATATGTATCACTGTGCATGATACATTTATTGCTGTATATGTTCTCTCTTTATCACTGTTTTATATGTGTATTACTATAAATCATATATTTATGACTATTAATGTATATATGTATTGCTGTGTATGATATATATTGCTACATATACCAAATATACAGTCGATTCACTTTAGTGTATCCTGTGAAGCACTTTGAGATGTCTCGAAGACGTGAAAAGTTGCTATATCAAATGGAAGGATTATTATTATATATTTATGACTACTGTACATGTATTGCTATATATTATATATTTATGATTGTATACTGTATATATATTGTGTATGATATATTGCTATATATTATATATTTATGACTATACTGCATATATGTATTGTGTATAATACACGTTGCTATATATTATATATTTATGACTACTGTATATATATTGCTGTGTATAATATATTGCTATATATTATGTATTTATGACTACATACTGTATATGAATTGCTGTGTATAATATGTGTTATATATTTATGACTGCACTTATATATAGCTGCGTATGATATTTATTGCTATGTGTTGTATACTTATGACTGTATATTGTATTTACTGCTACACGATATATATTTATGACTGGATACATATATGTATTGCTGTGTATGATATATATTGCTATATATTATGTATTTATGACTGTACACTGTATATATGTACGGCTGTGTGTGGTATATGCATTGCTGTACAGCCTATAATGTACAGACCCTCAGCCGATGGGCGGGGCCGTCGGAGTGGGCGGGGTCACGCGGCGATGACGTCACGTGGTGCGCACGCACTTGACGCTGGATCCGCCATTTCGCGGAGACGCTTCTGGAAGGTGACGGCTTCTCCGCGCTCGGTTCCCCGCCGCCGCCTGAGGCTTCCCGCTCCCGGCCCGGCCCGCTCGGGGCCCCGCGCCGTTGCAGCCCGGCCGCCCGCTCAGGTTCCCCGCCAAACCGTGGCCCAAAGCGCCGCCGAGCCCGCTTCCCGCCACCCCCGCCCTCCCTTCCCGCCTTACCGGCTCGGACTCTCCAGGCCTACAGGGCCTAGCGGCCACACCAAAGAAATCCCGCAACAAGGCCCCTCTCCCCCCCCTTCACCACCCCCACCCAACCCCGGTCATCTACTACTCTAGGCCCCGGCGCTCCCCATCCCCGCGCGGGCGGGCGGGCGGGCGGACAGCCAGGCCTCCGCGCACCCCCACCCCCCCCTCCCTCCCAGGGCGCGTTTCCGGTCCATCTGCAGGCTCCGTGCGGCCCGAGCCGTGCGTGCGTGTGTGTGGGGTGTGGCCGCCGCCGCCGTTAGTTATAGATAGAAAGGCAGAGAGAGAAGCCTGGGCTCTCAGTAGGACCTGAGCCCCCCCCCCCGAGCCCCGGCGCTGTTACGGGGCGGGCCATGCGGCGGGCGCCTGGCGTGGCCTGGGCCCGGGCCTAGGACCAGGCTTCGATTCCCCGCCCCCACCCCCACCTCTGCTCTTTGTTCCCGCGTGTTCTCCGCGGCTGTCGGGGCCGAGGCCCCCGCGGCGCGGCCATCGCTGACTTCCCCCGTTCTCTCTGTGTTGCAGGATCAGCAATGGGTGACCAAGGAGAGCCTCAAGTTCAGTTCAAGGTAATGAATTAAAAAAAAAGCGCCCCCTTTTTTTTGAAAAAAAAACCGTTCGCCGGGCGCCAACCCCCCGCTTCCCCCCCCCCCCCCGCCGCCCCGAGCCCCCACGGCCACCCCCACCCCGCGGCTCTGCGGCCTAACTTTTATTTCAAGTCCTGTGCGAGACTTTTACATCCGGTGTGGGGTGTGTGTGTGTGGGGGAGGGAGGGAATTGGTGGCGGTTACTGGGTTTTGCACAGAGAGTGGGTTTGTCAGGCGCGTTTCCTGACTTGTGTTTCTGCTGATTATCAGCCCGCCATGATTGATGTTGAGCGAGTTCCTGGATGAGTTAAAATCCCAACGACCAGTCGGCGTTAACTAAACGCCTCAAACCCATAGCCCTCACCGTGATGATGATGATGATGATGATAATCCTTGCCTTTTGATTCAGCGCTTTTCACGCCTTCGGGCGCGTCTCTAAAAGCGCTGCTACGAAGAATCCGCCGTGAAAGTGAACCGGCTGTATATTTGTGGGCGAAACGCGGCAGCCATGTGCGCACGGCAGCGTCCCACAAACAGTCGTGGATTGACGTGACCGATTTATTATTGCTTTCTTTTTTTTTTCCTTGAGGGGTTATTTTCAGACGTGTGGAGCGAGGAAACTTGCCCAGGGTTTCACCCTGCCGGGATTCGAACCCAGGTCTCTCGCATGCGATGTGCAGGAGGTCTTCAGCATTGAGACTTCTTATGATCGTCTACAGCAACTTATAGCATTTATATAGTGCCCCTCGCGTGCAGGGTAGCGTCCCAGAACGTTAGAGGTGGAGTGAGACCCAGTGCAGAGATTTGCTGAGTGACCCCCTCAGTGGCCACATATTACCGCCACAGCTAAGATTTTTTGAATCTGGGATAAATCAAGAATTTACGGTAGGAATTCTCCAGGGCTGTTGGCATCTCAAAATTTGTTGCATTTAACCAACAATGGGTAAATGCAAGACGAGCTATTGTGGGATGACCTAGTCCCAATTTTATGCAGTTACAAATTGCTTTTTCCTGTCTTCCAGCTTGTGCTTGTTGGAGATGGCGGCACCGGTAAAACCACCTTTGTGAAGCGTCACTTGACTGGGGAGTTTGAAAAGAAGTATGTAGGTAAGTGTATGTGTTACTAAACTTGGAACTAATTTCCTTTTGCATTAATGCCCATGTAACTAAGTGTCCCATCTATTTTTGCAGCAACCCTGGGTGTTGAGGTTCATCCACTAATGTTTCACACCAACAGAGGTGCCATCAAATTTAATGTGTGGGATACTGCTGGTCAGGAGAAATTTGGTGGCCTGAGAGATGGTTATTATATCCAAGGTAAGAAGCTCCTGTAGTACTTAGAAACACAGTTTTGTAAGTTTATGGTTCAGGTGTACAGTAGACACCTAATTTTACAGTATTGAGTTTACAGTGAGTTCTATTTCCTGCTTCTTTAATAGCTCAATGCGCCATTATTATGTTTGATGTAACTTCACGAGTGACATACAAGAATGTGCCAAACTGGCACCGAGACTTGGTCCGAGTGTGTGAAAACATCCCCATTGTGTTGTGTGGTAACAAAGTTGACATCAAGGACAGAAAAGTAAAGGCAAAATCTATCGTCTTCCACAGGAAGAAAAATCTTCAGGTATGACTCTTTATAGATCTTTTATCTACTTCCGTTTGGCTGCTGTGTGTTTCAGTAATTTACAAGAAAACCATTTGAGGCTGGTTCTCAACTAGTTTCACAATGAAAGCTACCAAAAATCAATCTTAAATTCATGATGGGTAAATAAGCCTACTGATTCCTACCAAAAAACCTTGAACATCTGTAAATATAAGTGACAATGGTTTAGCCTAAGGGAAGAATATTAAATACTTCTCCGCCCCTCTCTGTTCCCAACCTGCAGATTGGGTGCAAACACCTAATTGTCCAACGCCTTGGGATGTCTTCCCGTCGTGAAAGGCGCTTTGCCGTTGTCGGAGGGTCGTGGGCATGGTTGGGTGCTTGGAGCTGCCAGCAATGTGTAGTGTTGGGTACATCATAAACTGTCCTGTGCTTGTGTCCTGATGTCAATTTCTTGTTGCAGTACTATGACATTTCTGCCAAAAGTAACTACAACTTTGAGAAGCCTTTCCTGTGGCTTGCCAGAAAACTCATTGGTGATCCCAACTTGGAGTTTGTTGCTATGCCTGCGCTGGCTCCACCAGAGGTTCAGATGGATCCGGCATTGGCAGCACAGTATGAAGAGGAATTAAAGGTGGAGTGTTCATTTATTTATAATGTCTGCTTATAGGCAGGGTAAAACTTATCCCTGGAGAAATGCACATTTTTTAAATGAAAATCCAAATGTTCCTTTTTTGTGATGTATCCATATTGGTTTGTAGCCCTCTTTTGGTCTGTCTTCTGTTGACCATTTTCATTATAAATACTACTACACGTGGTGTGTGCAGATATGGTACAGAACCAGTTTCTTCACACCTATGGGAAGTGGTTATATGTTTCCCTATGTCTTCAGCAAGCTGTTGTGTTGCTGAAACCAGTATTTTAGGATTCATTGTTTACCATTCCTAATTATTCCCATTATTATAAGAAGCTCTTATGGTTGGAATATTTCCACCAGATTGCAGTCATCTGCTACTTAGTGTGTTTGCAAGACACTCGTTTAGCAAATTAGGCTTCAGTTGTCATGTTTGTGGCTAACTGAATTGAAATCCAGCTAAATATTGAAATGCCACCTTAGATTTGTGGTGATCACATCAGATAATGTGAGGTTGCTGTCGGTGGTTCTTATGTAACTTTGTACTGAAACATTTCCAAATTCTTGCATCTGCATAATGTCTACCTTTCTCTTTAAATAATGTAAATTGATATAATGTAATTTAAAAAACCTGCAAACAGCAAGGTCAGCTGACATAAATGTACTTAAAGTGTTCTCTTTGATTTTTAGGTTGCCCAGAGCACTGCATTGCCAGATGAGGATGATGACCTGTGAGTGATTGGCTGGAGCCAAGCGCCAGCAGTCTAGTTTTATAGGCAGCTGTCCTGTGATGTCTGTGATGCAGCGTATTTGCCAGTTAATTAGCTGAACAGAACTGTGCTTATAATCTTTGGGATGCTGAAGGAGTGCATTTGGGCTTTGGGGTGAAAGTGTGCAGAATCAAAACCATTTCCTTCACTCTTGGACCTGTGCACTTGACACTAAAACTGTATTGATAGACTGCAATGTTTTTTTCCTGTTTCATGAGTGCAACCATAATTTCTCAAACTGGTACAATTGCATCACAATATACATTGTTGAAGTTGTATGTTAGTTATTTCCACTTTTTTGTTATTTTTTGTTTAGGTCATAATAAAGTTGTATTCCAAACTAGAAATTTGTGTGCCTTTTTGTCTTTGGGGGAAAGTTCATGAATATTTCTTGGATCCTACATGACAGTGCTATAAGATGTGTTGTGCTTGTGCACATTATCAGTTACTACACAGAATACAAACATTTCTTACCCTCAGTTTCCTCAACTGACGGCAGGGGTGAGACCAGCAGCTCTGAAAAATGCGCTACTGCCGCGAAAGGTAAGAGATTTACTGAATGATTTTTTTTAGATTAAAAATAATACTTGAATATACAGACATGGTAAGTGTGAGCAGTCTTACCAGCTACAAATATAGTCACTAAACAACTGCTAAATTCTTCAATGTCAAGTGTCTTGTAGTAAACGGGATTAATTCAGCACGTTGATGCTGCACGGAATGAATGCTAGTATCCAGTTGAACTACTATTTAAACGAACGGATACTGGGACAGCTTGAGTATGCTGATGTGAAATGCCCACGAGTATTGGACTTGCTTCATCACATCCTCACCTCATGCGTGAAACAATGTTTTTAGGGTATTTTCAATACAAAATTAGCACTGACAATATAAAATACTAAGGGTAAAAAATGCACAATTAATGAATTATATAAATTCTGTGATCATGTTCCGTAACAAATGTCTTAACATTGTGAATGGACCAAATGTTAAGCACTAGGGTTTATAAAGAGCATAAAACAATACAAAGTGTGGGTGATTACCCTTTGATTTTGACAAGGATTGGATTGTTGGAATCGGGCCAAATGGTTCAGAGCCATTGCTGACAAAAGGTATTTCGTGCAATCTCTTTATAAGGCTATATCTTCTTTCCCTCCGTTGCAATTACTCATGGAAAGCAGCATTGGGATACCGAACTGCCTGACGTTGCAAATGGCATGATCAAATGATCTCCAAACGAATGGCACTCAAGGCATCAATAATATAACTTCCACAACTCAATAAATAAGTTGTGTTCAAAATATAACCTGCGCATCCAAAGATAAGACGTGCATTGATTTCACGGGATCAAACATATCAGGAAAAACGTTATTGGAAAGTGAGCCACGTAAAATGAAGGCAGATGAGCTCTGAACTTGGAAGGCGGAACTCAACTATAAAAGTGTCCATTTTCTGATAATTAACTTAACTAATTAATGCAAACAAGAAGAAAATACAGTATGTCAGTTCAGTAAATGTAAGTGACAGTCCCAGGAACAGACAGCCTAACACTGGGATTATGGCAAAAACCTCTAAAGGAAAGGAGATCCATCTGCTCCGAGATCTGATGGTATATTCTCTCTTGTGGTTTTGCAACCATGAGGCAATAATTTTGTTACAACTCAATTTTTATATGTAGTGACCAAAACTACTGCCCAAATTACAGCATTATTGGCAGCTGTAATTGCTTGGATAAAACAAACCACATACTCCAAATAATGGTTACACAAGAGTGCTTGGATGTGCTGCTGTTCTCAGTACGTTCATTAAGACGAACAGGTCCAGTGGGAAATTTTATATCTAGTCTCAAAGAGTAATTAAGGAAGGCTACTGTTCATTAACATTTACTGTTGAGACGAGATATAACGTTTCCACACAGGAGAAAATACTGCTTTTAAAATGTGTTTTATTCCATCTCCTCTTCTCATCCTCCTGGGACGTGCACCATTGCCCTGACTAGTTGGATAGTTAGGCAGCGGGATAGTGCAGATGCATATAGTAATAAATAATAATCCTTGCATTTATAATTGCAATAGGCTTTGTTGCCGGTAGGTGAGCAATCAGCAGGTATCTTTTGAGCTACTTTGGGTAAGTTTTGTCAATTGGCAGCTAAGCCACGAGATGGTGCTGCAGATCCAGTGCAGAGATTGGGTGGGATTGAGGGGCTGAAGATAGGTGGGGTTCTGTGGCCGGAGCAAAAATTAACTATAAAAATATTCAGGGAAAGAAACATAACAATTTACATCCAAGTGCTAATGTGAGAAGAATTTTTTTTACGTTCTTGTAGACCAAATTGTAAATTATTCACTCATGTCAAAATAAAATCCCTCAAAAGGCAGTGGAATTGGAAGATCTAATTCTATTTACATTTTGATACAGTGACGCTTCGGATGGAATCTTTCAGGTTTTTGATATACTAATAAAATTTGAGATGTAATAATAATAATCCTTGCATTTGATATAGCACCTTACCACTTCTTCGAGACATCCAAAGTGCTTAATAATAATATAATCCTTGCATTTGATATAGCGCTTTTCACGTCTTCTAGACGTCCCAAAGCGCTTCACAGATTATACTATAAATTGGAGTGACTGTATATTTTGAGGGCGAAACGGGGCAGCCAATTAATTCATAAATTAATTAATGTACTGGGATGGTAATGTGTATTTATCCAACAAAAAGGAATTGCATTTATTATTGCACCTTTCACGTTGCGATGCTCACAGCCGCCATAGAACCTCTCCGCTCGGGCCATCAGCCTCCTGTTTGTTGTGCCGAGTGAATACTTTTTAATACCAATTGTCAGTGTGAGCAGCAAGCGATGGATGCACTTTGTATTTGAAGTGGTGGCTGAGATCAATTCATACACACACTGGTCTGTGTGCAGTGACTGACTTGCTGTGAGCTTTCCACCTTCTGTAATTAAACTGTTTTAGGTCAGTTACTGTCATTGTGTTTCTTGGTGCCTATTGCATTAATGATCTAAATTCCACACTGTCGCAGTCCAGGGGTTTATATGATGGGGTTGTCATAGCTGGTGAACAATTGATTAAATATCAAAATGCATTAAAGGCAGAATCGATAGATATGGATACTTGGACAGTGAAGGTAATGAGGGCTGTGAAGAAAGGGATTAAGGGATTTGCTATGATCTGTTACAAGAGAGGAACAGTGCCAAATGGCTTTCTCCTGTTCCAATGTTCCACAAAGAACAGACTGTGGGATAAGGAGAATAATGCTGACTAAATCCTCTCCTTTCTCTCTGTACTGTCTGAAATATACATCCCATGCCATTTTGGCTGAATTGGTTAGCACTCTTGCCTCTCGCTCAGAACTCACAGCAGAACTTCAGTGAATGTCAGGCTGACATTCTGGTGCAGGGCTGGTCTTGCATTACTGGAGTTGCCAACCTCCAGATTAACTGTTATACCGAGAACATGGCTGCCTGTTCAGGTGGGGCTCTATTGCAAAAGAGAAGGGAGTTTCTCCCAATGTGCTGTCACCAACAATCCTCCAGATAAATGGTGTTTGCCTCGTAGGCAGATGCTACATTTTGGTAGTAAATGCTGTAGTGTTTTGACATGATGAGGCATCAAAGCATGGGGTGACGTTAATGCTGTCCAGAGACCTGTGTGTCAAAGTAGGGTGAAGACAGAATTGGGCATAGCTGTCATTCCCCCTTCTGGGGTTAACTAACCTGCTGCTTATCACTGTTTCAGCTCAAATCCACTTGGATGGCCGGTATAAATGCAATATATATGCGATATAAATGCAAGTTGTTGTTGTTGCTGTTGGTACCCTTCCCTTGGAACCTCACCACAGCAAGAGTCAGCAACTTCGGGGAAGAAAACTGGTGCAAGAAAGCAAAGAATTTTGGAGATGGTGACAAACAGGTACTGAAATAGTATTGCCTGTACGTGAATAATAAGTAAGACAAATAACCAGTTACAGTATTAAACCATAGAAATTGTACAACCAGTATTAACCTATAGAAGTTGTGATCTTCCTCTGAATCAGACTCTAAATGGATATCACATATGTCAAATTGCTAGGCTGATTTGACTGCAGAAGTCAGAGCGTCATGTTTGCCATGACATCTTTACTGGAATAAACTGAAGTTGGTTGATTGGACTCTATGAAGTTATGCGAATAACAAATTGAGTAACATTGTGGAAATCACAGTAGGGAAGCAAGACATCTGCTTCTGTTTGGCTGTTGCTCTTTCTGAAGTCACCCTGTTTTTCACGTTTCAGCATTGTAGGTCATGTGTTGCTCTGTGTTGACTGTTTGGATTAAATCATGCTAAATATCATCATGATTAAATGAGCTTTCTCCATGAATATTGAGAACAATTAAAGGAGCTTGGTTACTTCTTGAGGCGAAAAGGTTGAAGGAAAAATTGATACAGGCACAAAGGGAACTGATGGAATTTAGATTAGTAAGATACTCATATTGGAACCATTGAGTAGAACAAAGAGTTGTGTATTTAACAATAGAAAGAAAAGAGCTAATGAGGAATCAAGTTGGTTATTTTTCTACCACAACATTGTAAAAAAATTGAATAACTTGGCAGCGAGCGCAGAAAGAGCAATAATAATTGGTTTATTAAAAAGTAAGCTGCACATGTAATCATTTCACTGAGGAACAGAGACAGCAATTTGATCCGGGAGTACACCGTCAGGATTATACGGGTCACTAGCTGATGATCACCGCAAAGTATCAAATATATAAATAGCCGCGCTTTGATCTCTTCCGATTTAGTTCTTATTCAGTTTCTTACAGGACTTCTGTAAGCACAGCTCGGATGAATAATGCAGTTAGCATCAGCCTTCTTTTGAGCTTCTAGATGTTATCCTGAATGCCCACACTGGCCGGAGACACGAACGATAACACTGTCCATCAATGGAGCAAGTTCGGGGATGAAGCTTTGTCTTCATGTTCCAATGGATTTCTAACACGTTTCAAACTCGTGGGATTGTGCAGGTCAATTATTGAGTGCTGTTCAACACTGAATCGGGAGCTCAACAAGGTCTCATCTTACTACTATAGTCACGTTATATTGCTTCTTTCACTGTTTCCGATATTAACACTTCACTGCCTCGGCCCCTTGTTGAATCAGGAGTCCATCCATTGCCTTTTCAATGTGTGTCAGCATTCATTCCACTGAGTGGCAGATATTGTGCTCTTTGTGGATCCTCCAAATGAGAGTGAACTGATGTTCTGCCTGCCTGTTCAGAAGGGCATATTAAAGATCCCGTGGACACCAATGGAAAATACAAAGGAGTTTCTCTTGGTGTCCTGGCCAATAATCCTCTACATCAATTGGTCATTCACCTCATCATGGCTGTTGGTGGGCCTCGGCTACGTGCAAGTATCTGTTTACTGTATGTAATAATGAGCTGTTTTTTATGTGTTAAGACATTGTCAAAACGTGAGTTTCTTCATTGTAGTTACTCCTAAAGTAGAATGAACTCACTGGTGGATCATTAAGATTATAGTCAAAAGTTTATTTGAACATTCCTGCCAAGATACCCATTTCTATCCATGTCCTTGTTTCTTGGTCTTATTTTACAAGTTTGTCTCTTATTACCCTCCTGTCTTCATTACCCACAACATAAACCCTGGGGACAGCTTTGTTATGAGTCATTTTCACAGCCTAATGTCACCAGACACACTCATGCACCTACAGTATTTAAATGCTCTGAGACGCCGTCGGGCATAAAGGGTGTTATATAAATGCAAGTTGTTGTTGTTAAACACCTTAACGCTC